ATCTTGTGATTTTTATTTGCTTAAAAACTAATATGAATTTAACATATTTAAATGTTCAATGTTCATCAATTTGAGGGAAGAGGAAATGAATTATATTCCAATCATTGTATAAAAATATCGTTAGTACCCTAAAAATTTCGGTTTTCTATCTTCACATATATATATATATATATGGGCTAAGATTCACTTATATAATTTTTTTTAATTTTATACAAATTTAGAAACGTTTGACGAGTGAAAATATATGTTTAAAATTAACAGTAGGAAATGAAAAATAGTTTTATATATATATATATTATATGTGTGTGTTAAATTCAAAAAATCAAATTATTTAAATATGTTTAATTTGATATAATTTTTTATATTAATTTTTTATTTATTAATCTAGGGTAAGTACAAAATAATATATATTTTAAGATAACTCTCAACTATTTGATATTAAATGCTCACATCTTTAGCAGTTTGTGACCCAATACCTCAATGAATAATAACAATTCTTTTACTACCGATGTTGATTGGTTCATGCGATTGAAAAACTTTTGAATAGATAAAAAATGTAATTTAATAATAAAATATCCTTAATTTTTTTTAGTTTTGAACACACGTACTTCAGATCTAGACCGTTTATTTGAAAATTAGAATGATTGTCCTCAACCAACGAGACTAACCCTGGGATTGAAATGCAATTTATCAAGTTAAATGCATATATTTATTAATGGCTTACTATATTTTATTGATTATTTAAAAGATTATTAGTATTTTAATATCTTATCCAATCTATTGACCAGTGCCCATCCTTTTTGGCAATGATCAAAGCCAATAGTTTCTAAAAGTTTATATGTTGTAATTTAGTTACTTTTGTCTTTATATTCTTTTACGATCTTTATTTAAATAATAATAATAAAATTTGTAAAGTCAGAATTTATTACTAGTTGATATACTATGTATAAATTGTAGACTTAATTCATATATTTTAGTTGTATATAGTGGACGCTTATACTACCGTACATCGTCGTTTATCGATCATTGTTTGCCAACATTAGAAATTAATAAAAATATAATATTTCCAAATGCACTTTCTCTGTTGAATATGAGTCTAACAACCTTTTCCTATAAAAACCAGTCCATATTAGTTAATCTATTGGAAAAAATGATTTTTACCTCCTATGTTCATGGTTGATCACCCATCAATCATTTCTGTTTTGAGATACGCGATTCATCTCGTTAAGATTTAACTTATCGTATGTGTTTTCCAATAAAATTTTTAGTTGTCACGATTCACTAAAAATACAAATATAAGATTTTAGTTTCTGTTTCATTTTTTCAACTTTCTTTCAATAATATTTAAAATTTTCGTTGTAAGTTCTTGTTTTTTTTTTCCATTATAAATCCTATCCTCAGCGTAGAGGGCTAGGATGATTTAAAAAAATAATAAAGAATCGATAATTAGAGAGATAGTAATCGATTAAATATTTAGAGATATGATAGTAAAAGGATTCATAAAATTTGAGATAAATGATTATTGAGATCTAAGAGTTCGATTGAATTCAGATAGTTAAATTCAGACTTAAGTTCATTAGAATTTTGATTAAGTTTTATAAATTGACTTTGTAGGTAAATGTTAGACTTCTGATTTTAAAATTTTACGAATCAACTTAAACAATTGGACTTATAGTGTAATTGCCCCATCTAAAGTTATATCTCAAACAATACTTAGCATAAAATCTGACCCCAAAAGATTACTCTAAAAAAAAGAGGGATTAGGTTTAATGATTTCTTCAATATCTCAAGTTATTTTTATTTAACTTGTTAAATTTATAATTATATTAATTAAAAAATAAACATTAACTTATAATTATTTTTAAAATTGTAAAAATTAAAGAATTATGTTTGTTTTAAGAGGTTTCATCTACTCATTACGGAAACATAAAGGACCTCAACCATTTTTGTAATATTAATCAATAAGAAAATAAGAAAAATAGGGCTAATAGAGAAAGACGATATTGTTCAGGAGAGATTGGTCAACAGCCAACTTCTTTTTTGTCCAGAAACAGTATGTAATGAATAGAAGAGCTCCCAGTTTCATTTACATTATGGTGTGCTTGACTTCGACAAAAATCAAACCTAACCGACAAATAATCCAATCTAATTTTCTTTTTGGAAATAAGTTTTGTTTTGTTACCACTTATGAGCACATTCTTCATGTTTCGACCACTATGTAAATATATAAATAAACCCTCCCTCCTTCATTCATAACACGCAACCTTCCTCCTCGCCTGTTTGTTTAATCTTTCATTTCCTACAGGTTTCCTCAGCTTTTATTTCTCATGTTGTAATATAATTTTATGTATAGCTTCTGGGTTTCATTCGTTTGAGCCAACTGGGAGAACTTCAGCTCAAGGTTTTCAATAGCATATACTATTTTCTTCTTATTCTTCTTTGGTCGTTTTGACGAAATTTCCAGGTATTTTGTGGCTAAGTTCCATCTGGGTCTTTGTTAAAAGATTGAAAAGAGGTAGTTTTGTTGAGACAAAAAGCTATGGATTCTTCTTGGGTGGGTACTTCATTGGATCTTAATCCTTCTTCAGCTAGGCCCCTAAGACTTGAAACTGCGGTACATCAAAATTTGTTCGAATTTTTCTTCTTCATGTTTTAATTGAGTTTCTTAAACTGAAAATCTGTTATCTTATGTTTCAGAAGAAGGAACCAAATGGCAACTTAATTGTGTTTGGAAAGAAACTTTCTGTGAAAGAAGAGGTAAGTTCTATGTATATTATTTTATGGAAAATTTTCAAGCAACAAAAATGAATCTGGAGATTCGACTTGATTTTCTGGGAACATGTGATGCTGTTCTTATTTTGCAGACTGGTTCTTTAGTGGAAGAATTGAACCGTCTAAATGAAGAAAACAAGAAGCTGACAGAGACGTTAACAGCAATGTGTGAGAGCTACAATGCTCTGAAAAGCCAGGTGATGGATTTAAGGAGCAAAACCCCAGAAAAAGAGCTTAGCCATTCAAAGAAGAGAAAATCTGAAAACAGCAACAACAATGATAATATTTACAACTTGGGCAACTCAGAGAGCAGCTCAACTGATGAAGATTCATGCAAGAAACCCAGAGAAGAAATTATAAATGCCAAAGTCTCCAGAGTTTATGTCAGGACTGAAACATCTGATACAGGCCTGGTAAGATATTTCACATATAGTGTAAACTCCACTGGATTCTAAGTAGTTCAAATTTACTTAATTTCTTATGCAATTTTATTTAAACGAATTCAGATTGTTAAGGATGGATACCAATGAAGGAAATATGGGCAGAAAGTCACCAGGGATAATCCTTCCCCGAGAGCTTACTTCAAGTGTTCTTTTGCTCCAAGCTGCCCTGTTAAAAAGAAGGCAAGCCTGCCTCTCATAATTTTCTCATTACATTGCAGTTTGAAGAATGAAAACTCGGTGACAAATTGGAGCAGAAAATGATAAAATTTTGATTTTTTGTTGTTGTTGTTGATGTTTACAGGTTCAAAGAAGTGCAGATGATGTATCAGTTATGATTGCAACATATGAGGGTGAACACAACCATCTACCCCCTTCTCAAATGGAACCAACATTGGGTTCAAGCCATGGTTCAGCCTCATTGAACCCATCGGGACCAACCATGAGTCTAGGGCTCACAAAATCTAAGCCCAGTGGTAGTGGTGAAGCTAGGAAGTGCAGTTCCAGTAAGGCAGAAATGGATTCACCACAAGCCAGACAATATTTGGTGGAACAGATGGCAACTTCTTTGACTAAAGATCCCAATTTCACAGCAGCATTGGCAGCAGCCATTTCCGGAAGAATGTTTTCAGCAAAGTCCAATTGAAGAAAAAAAAGGGATGGGATATCTCAAAGTATAGGATCAAACTAGAGTTTTTCTTTTCATTTCTCTTTTAGGATTTTTATAGTATATATAGCTGGGAGAATATATACCAGCCGACTCATGATTTTGTGAACTATAAGTAATTGTTACCAACTTAGAATGTTGTAAAAATACAGCATTACAAAAGAATCGGGGAAACCAAAGGAAACTGGAACAGAATATGGAATCTGTTCAAGAGCTTCTTGTAAATATTCTTTTCATTTGATTATAAACATCAGCTTCTTGTAAATACTGTCGTAGACTTGTAAAAATAGTAAGTTTGAGTGCACTAAGAAACGCAAATTTCTAGTGTGAATGTTAATTAGTTAAGGATTTGGGAGTTAAGATATAATCTCTTCGGGTTTGAGGGTTAGAGAAGATTAGAATTCTAAAAAGGAAAGATAATAGTATGTTTTTCATCTGAAGATCCTTGGCCTCGCACAGTAATGATGCTTTAGTGTATATAACGAGCTTCTTCATCTTCACTATTCTTTAAAACCATTCATAAAATTATAAAATTTTCTCTTGATTTGATAAAATTTTAATAAGATTATCCTATTACTAGTACATCATAGGTTTGATCTACGCAGAAAATCCTGATTATTGAAGCCTATAAATATGTAAAAGTTATATTATTATTTTAAAGATATTATAATCCTTTTTATAAAATAAAAGTGTTTAATATAAATCGGAAACAGTAAAAAGCAAGTAAAATGAGTAGTTAAGTCGCAATGAAGAAGGAAAAAAAAAAGGAGGGGAATTCAAAGTTGTGTTGTAAAAAGACAAAAAAGATAAAGAAAAGCCATCGACGACCGCAAGGAGTAGGCTACAAGTCTCCGTTCCAAGAGTGTGCGCCACCACATGCAAACGTCCCAATTCCGTACGTGATTATTTAGTCTTGCGCCCGATGACAAGGCCATGAAAGCCAGCTGGTGACTAACATTGCCGTAGCTAGCCAGTCAAGTAAAATACTGAAAATATAATATAAAAAAAAGAACATGAAAACGAAATAAGCACGAATTAAGAGTCTATTAAATATAAAATTATTAAGGAGCATTGGTATTAACTGTGAGTCCATATTCCAAAAAACGTTTGGTTTACCTTGTCCCACCCTGGATTCCATTGCCAAGATTTTCAAACTGAAAATATTCTCGGCCGCCTCACCTGATATGACATTTCAATTCATACAAGTATTCTTCAAACAAGTTGTGGCATTTTCTATTTGATTGAAAAAGTTTCTTAAAATAAACATTCCTCACCGTATACATAGACATTTATAACAAATGCGACATCTTTCTCCCTGGTTCTACATAACGAAACAATTTGTACACAACAGCAATCATCATCCACCATATTTCCAAATGGTGTGAAAACACTCGATCAATGTAACAAAACAAAACATACAAGCTCTCAACCAAAACCCAAATCATATGTCCAGGGCACTTGTCTCCTCAAGTTTTCTAGTTTCGTCATTTGCTTCTTCATCGTTATTGACTTCCCCCCTTGATTCCACCCCTGTTATGCATTCCTGAAACCGAAAGCAACTCATAAGATGGTCATTAGTCAATCCAGCCACTTGCATGAATGAATATACAACTGTCGGCCCCACGCTTCGGAATCCTCTTCTGATAAGGTCTTTGCTTATCGCCTCTGCTTTTGAACTCTTGACTGGAACCTGGCGAGGGTACCGGAATTGACCAACTATTGGCTTGTGGTTCACGAAGCTCCAAATGTACTTGTCAAATGACCCAAACTCATCTGTTACCTGCATATAACAGAAATCAGCTGTGAATCACTTTAAACTTTTTGCGTTGTAAATGAGTCGGAGCTATTTATAATTGATGGGTTTTTTTTCACCATAATATATGCTAGCCAGGGTTTTCTTTGCTAAACACCAGTGATTCAAACAACACTTTAATAGTTTGCATATTACTTCCGCAATAAGAAAGTAGAGATTAACAAATCAGTAATGACTAATGAAAATAAGTCCTTGCCATGCATATTTGGCGTGCATTTTCAATGATGGCTCGAATCTTGAGTTCTGATAGCAGAGAGGTAGCAGGGCTTCCAGGGGTGCCTATCTTTTTCTCACTTAGTTTGGAAACAGCCCTCGGATCAAACTCCAGAAAGGTTTCTCTGCATACGAATAAAGTCAACATCAGCTTCAGTCACAGATGAAAACCCACCAAAAAAAATGTAACATAGAATATCACCAATACCTAAACATGTGTCTTTTGCTAAGGATGGTAGGCCATGTCAGTTCAGCCAAAGCACCAGATAAGCTGAGCAATTCAAACAATTTCCTGCATTTACAAAATAAACAGGCCAAGTTAACATCTAAATTTCATGCATGAATTGGGGGGAAAAGTAACGCCAGATGACACGTGCAACCAGATTACATACTTGTCATCATGAATTGGAACTCCCCATTCTTCATCGTGGAAAGCAACATAACAAAGATCTTTCAAAGTGCAAAAAGCAGTTAGTACTTGAAAATGTTTATAAGATGGTAAAAGTGACTTGAAAAACACACTAAAAGTGAATGGAACATGAACATCAGTAGAAGCCTTAGTAGTATAGGATTTTCTTGGGGAAAGTGAGTCCCAAAAGCCTAAGAACTGCAAAGGAGAGAACTATAGCCGAAGTAAGGACTTAGGAGCAACAAAACAAACTTATGAAAGGGGAGAACATATTAAGTAGCTGGAAATTGTAAAAACGAGTGCAATTCGACATAATTGAAATCAGCCTTAAGCCTAGCTACCAAAATTCTTTTCTCTATTTTACCCTATCACTGAGTTCAAAACCCAGTTACCATATTTTGCATATGAAACACTTGGTAATTGTGCTTAACATTTTGCCCTTTTTGTCACTTAATCTGAAGATAAGCCTTCCTATCCACTGGATCCATACACAAGATTGCCCTGCCATCTTTGGGGTCCTTTTCCTTTATGAAGAAAAATCATAGAATTTGTATTCAAGATAAAATAAATCTGAAATTGCCAAGATAATTGATAACTTTGATCAATCTTTCTCAAATTTTCACTTAATTTCAACCCAATAATCCCTTCCCTCTGAACATCTCTAGTGAAGTTAGTCTTAAGAAGAAGAATATTATTCCATCTCAACCTGGGGCACAGCCCAAAGAGTTCATGCACCCAATTAATTGTTGGAAGCACAGCAGGTTTGGGGTTCAAATACTAGCTCCTGCAACCCCTCCCCAATGCCCAATAGTATATTTTTCTAAAAAAAAGTTCAATCCATCTGAAATTCTATGTGACTCTTGATTAACAGCTCTACATTAGCTTACAAAAACAATAATAACATTTCCTTTATAAATTATATTCATAGCCTTCCTAACATAATTATTTCAATCTGAAATTACAAACTTCAAGATGTGAAAGAACTTAGTGTATAGGGAAAGCAAGCAGCCACTAAGTGACTAAAGCAAATCTTTATTCCCTCATTAATTGTAAAGAATGTACCATAAATCTATTAGAAAGCTATTCACATATTACCAACCATTTACTTCCAGCATATGCGCACCAGTTACCATTTGATGCAGATACTGTAAGAGATTAAGAGTTAAGAACAAGAGCAAATTGACTTCTAACCTAAGGGAATAAAAAGCTACACCTTTCCTAGAAGATAAAATCTTCTGTATAGGTGCCTTAAGTATATAGAATGCGATCCAGTACAATTTGCTTGCATTCCCAACAGAAAGGAAAACAGCTTTCTTATGTAGCTTTGTAAGTACTCAAGAGTAAAAATCTTCTCCAACGGCAGAAATTTTGTTCATATTTGAATACCCTCTAAAATAAGTGCCAAAATCAGCATCGATTCGATACCAAACTTGTTCACTAACCAACAAGCAATCTCTTTTCAACAACTACTATAAACGACACAAAAAGCTGTGTTACTTGCTAACTACCTAAGCACTAACCATGCATATATCTTCAATAAACCTGATGATGCCATCTTATAAAAAGTTGTTTATATTTAAGTTTAAAACTTTTAATGATGTACTGTAATCTGATTCACTGATTGTGAATAGGCATATAGAAAAACACCGCATCAAAATATAACTCAAAAGAAGACTTGACTGGCAGTGTAGCTTGCGTCATGTTGTTTCTCCCTTCCTATATGTGAATATTGAACTCAAACCAACGTAAAGGAGTTACTACATAGGCAAAATATCTCTTTCAGCAGATTGCCTCCAGATTTGTCGAGATGTCTGAATTTGATTAACCTATCTTAATATAATCTACTCCAAAATCCAAAGCATAAAAGATATAAGAATAACACCGTCATTACCAATAATCTCAACTTAAAGAACACCAGAAAGTATTTAAAAACATACCTGAATTGGGTGTTACCCACCCACACCTTTTCTTTTTTACCAAGCAACCGTCTTCCCCTGAATCCACCACCGTAACCTCACTCTCCCCTTTCGATTCACTTTGCTTCCTTCTCACTCCAACTCCAACTCCCCGCCGGCCTCCTCTGCCAGTCTTCCCACTGGAAGACGACCCTGCCGATGAAGACGATGCTCCTCCGTCCGACAAACACGACAAACTCATTGACAAAAGTTCCCACCTTCCTTTCCTGCTGCCTCAAAATTGATGCAGTCAAAGTCAACGGTTGAGAAGCCGCCATTGGTTCCTTCTGTAGACCTAACAGTTCTTTATCCTTCTCTCCGTCTTTTCCCTCAGACAATTGCTGAACTGGTTTTTCCATTTTTTTGGCCGATTTCGGTTCCAGTTTTACCAGTACCTTGTTCCCGCCTCGCTTCCATTTTCGTCGCAATGTTAGCCGACCTTACCCTCTGTGGTCCCGACATTTTCTAATCCTCCCAAATTGCCCTGCAAAACCTTCTAATTTGAAGTTTTCCGGACTAAACAGTGAGCTCCGAATCAGTAATTGAAGTTGTAATGGAGTGAATAAGGAAGGTTTTGAATTGTAGGGCTGAGGTGAGAGAGTGTGAGCGGAGATTCGGAGAACAAAGCCGGGAAGACAGTTCGTGTGATTAGAGAAATTATGTAAATGAAAAATACTGCAACTGGGTCAATTGCTGTTTTCGAGAATGGTGTTGTTTAGGTGGTGAGAAAGTGTGAGAAAATGAGATGAGAAAACCAGAAAATGAAACCAAAAAATTTCTTTCGATGGAATCGGGTTTTCGGTGGCCAGGGGTAGTTTCGGGTATTGGTGACAAAAAGGAAAAAAATCAAAATAAGTGTTTTTGCCCTTTCTTTGAAAAGGTTGTTTTGTCTTATAGTATATATTATTTTTTAGTTCTACAGGTACAAAGGTTTTTTTTAAATGTTAAGTTTATTTACAAATACTCATTTAAATGTCAAATTTTTTATATATTAATGATGAACTATATTTTGATATAACAAATAAGGTAAAATATTTTTTGGATTTGAATTGAATTTATTCAAAGTTTTCAAAAATAATTCAAAGTCCATCTAACTTGAAATTGAGCACAAAACAATTTTCTGGACAAGCAGTATCGATAATGTTCTTACAGTATCGATACCTCATGAACAATACCGATAAAGTTCATATGGTACCGATACCAAGGTAAGAGAAGTATCGATACTATCAACATTGCTCAAATTTTGAAATCCAAAAATGGTACTGATACCCAAAGGAATACCAATATTACTTTACATAGTAGTATCGATACCATCAGGCCCTAACAGCTAGTAACGACTAGTTGATTTAAAAATAACAAAGGTAGTACTGATACTCCCTTTAGGAGTACCGATACCCTCTGCACTGTCATTTTATTTTGCAGAGATTTCATCCCCAAATGGCTATAAATCATCCCCGACGACTACAAACGGCCACAACTTCATTCCAACATATAAATACAAGTTCAAAACACTTGAAGAAGGGTTAGAACACCCATTCAAGCATTCAAACACAAGAGAAGAGTTTTCCAATTTAATTTTATTTCTCTTGTAAATATTAGTGTTTTAGTAAGCTTTAATTTGTAAACACCTACCTTGTAAGCGTTTTCTTGTTTACAATATATTTTCTTTTGTAAAAAGGGGTTTGGTTCTAGTTTAGTCAAGTGAAAAACTAAGGAGTGTAATAGTTATCACTTGATCATTTAAAAAGAAAAAACAAATTAGTGAATTTATTAGAAAATCCTTAGTGATGAGCTAAGATAGTGGAGGTAGACTTGGTTGATAAGTCGAACCACTATAAATCCTTATGTCAAATTTCTCTATCTTTTACTCTCCTTACTCCCTGGTCAAATTATTACCAATTCACCCCTTGTAACTTTTCGGTTTTCAATTCGTGCTTTCGCAAATCCCAACAATTGGTATCAGAGTTTGACTCGTTAGAAGACTCCACATCCTTGAGACAACCTTCGAAGAATCTCTACCGATTCTCGACGTAACTGACAAAGAGAGGCTTCAACTTCTGGTGCTTATTACATGAAAGATTCTCAACCGATCAACAAGCCACCCTACTTCAATGGAGCAAATTATGCCTATTGGAAGAATAGGATGATACTCTTCATTCAAGCCAATGATCTAGGAGCTTAGAACTCAATCATGAAGGGTTACTCCACTCCACCCGGTGAGATGGACGATTGAAGTGATATAGAAAAGAAAAAGTTCTAGCTCAATGCTATGGCTATGCACATTCTTTTTTGTGCATTAGGCCCAGATGAAAATGTAAGAGTCTCCTCTTGTTCCAATGGCAAGGAGATATTGGATAAGCTCCAAGTCACTCATGAAGGAACCGATGAAATGAGGGAAACCAAGATAAGCCTTCTCAACCATAGCTACGAGAATTTTAAGATGAAACCCGATGAAGACATCAAAGCTATGACATATATATTTTTTGTGATTGTCAACGATCTAAAGGGATTTGGAGAAGTAATCCTTAATAAGAAGCTTATGAGGAAGATGATCTACTCTCTTTCAAAGTCTTGGCAATCAAAGAAGACAACAATTATCGAAGTTATAAACCTACATTCTCTTACTCTCGATGAGCTTATTGGTTCTCTTCTTACTCATGAGTTGATGGTGAAGGAAGAGGAAGATGATGAAGAAAAGAATGACAAGAAGAATGAAGAAAAGAAGAAGAAAATAGGCATTGCCTTCAAGTCCACCAATGAGAGCTATCAAGATTCAAATGAAGAGATGAATGAAGACGATGATGAAGAAGAAGAGATGGCCAAGCTCTTCAAAAAGTTCGAGAGATTCATGTCTTCCAAGGAAGTGAAGCATGAATCGACCAAGAACAAGAGTCCCCCGGTGTGCTTTAATTGTTAAAGAATGGGCCATGTCAAGTATGAATATTCCCTCCTAAAGAAGAAATGAACATCCAAGAAAAATGCATTTGTGGCAGCTTGGAGTGATGAAGATGACTCCAATGATGAAGATGAAGCAGCCAACCTATGCTTCATGGCCATCGAAGAATATTCAATGGTATCTTTTAACTCAAATAAATTAAATTCACATTCTTTTGATGAGTTACAATATGCTTATAATGAGTTGTATTTGGAATTTGAGACAGTGAATTCCAAATATAAGAAATTAATTTCAAAACTTAAAGCTGAAAATGATTTAGTTTTGAAAGAAAAAGTTGATTTTGAAAATCAAAATGAAATTTTAAAAAATGATTTAGAGCTTTCAAAAGTCAAAATCAATGATTTAGAAAAAGAAATTTTTGATTTGAAAGTTAAGCTTGAGAGCTTAACAAAAGAAAATGAATTAATTTCTAAAAACAACTCATTATGTTTAAAAATGGATAAATGCTCACATTGTCATTTTCATGGTCATTTGGAACATACTTATCATTTGAAGAAAGGAAAATGTTTTAAAATTAGATAAGTATGGGTTCTCAAGGGAACAAGGGGCATTGAAACTAACGTCCTAGGATCCAAAGAAATTTGGATACAAAAATCCAAATAAATGTCTCTTGTAGGTGTGTGGGAACAATGGTGATGAAAGTGATGATACTCAAATGCTCTAGTCACACTTGAAAAATGAATCAATAACCTCTAAGCTTAATGCTTTTATTTTGGTTATTTGGTTGCTCATTTAGTTTATGCATGCATGAGTTTTAATTTTAAATGATTATGCATTGTTTTTAATCTCATGTACGTTGAAAAATGCTTTATTATGAACATTCTAAAGTTTTAATGATTTTTTTCATAATTTTTAGTTCATCATAATGAATTTTGGTCAAATTTGATTTTCAATGCAATGATATATCTCTAATAATTGATATCAACTTTTCAAATGCTTTGATTTTACAAATTTTAAATTTTTTACCTAAATTTAAATGTTTATGCATGCGTTTTAAATGCAAAAGATATCTCTCTAACAATTGATATCAAATTCTTCAAATGCATAACATTTTTAAAGCTTTTTGCACATATACTTAAATTTCAATAATTGGTATTACTTAAAGTATTTTAGACTTAGATATATTGAATTTCATGTGCTACTAACATGTTTGTTATTCTTTGTTGAAATTTAATTTTGTTTAAATGTCAAGCTTTTAAAGTCAATTTTTTATTTGGAATGCACTTTTTGAGGGAGAGTTTTGATTTTCAAATGATTTTATGATAAAATTTAACACTTAGGGGCCGTTTGTTTACTGCTGAATGGAACCATTCATCGCTGAATGCTGAACCGTTTAACATTCAGCGTGTTTGATTCTCACCTCTGATTGAAGACTATGTTGAATGAAATAACAAAACACTGCTGAATGATTCAACATTAAAGTACATTCTGAATCATTAAGCACTCAGTATTTTACCATAATACCTATTTTTTCACATGTTGTCTTATTAAACAATCATATCTTATAATATAATAAATCAATATGAAGGTAAAAATGAAAATATTCATAATTCAGATTGTACATTCATAACCATTATCAAACAGCATGTCACATTCAGAGCCAATTGTTGAAAACATTTTGATATTTCGATATAACAAATTAAGTTAAATGAATTTTAAGATTTTCCAAAATGATTTTCTAAGTATATTCGATATAATTATTCGAATATCAAAACATTACTCAAAATATTTCAAAAATCATTTTTAATCCTTACTTAAGTGTAAAATTAAGTTTTAATCTTAAAACAATTTCAAAATAATCTTTCAAAGTATTTCGAACCATTTCAAAGCCAAAAATTCCAGATTGCTCAGAGGGAACCGATTCCCCCCCAAGGGGGTACCGATTCCCCCTGAATGGTTTGGCTCCGAGATTTCCAGAATGCTCGGAGGGAACCGATTCCCCCATAGGGGGTACCGATTCCCCCTGTTCAACGGTCGAAATATTTGAATTTTACACTTAGGGAACCGATTCCCCATAGGGGGTACCGATTCCCCCCACGCTCCAAATTGTTTTATTAATTGTTTTCACACTAAAACGGCTATATGATCTTCACTAATCATCCCTAACGTTCAGAAGAGATTCAAGGTGTATTTAAACAAGTTCTGAAGCCCTTGATCAACAAGAAATCATAGAGAAACAAGAGAGAAAGCATCAAACATCAAGTTTGTGCAAATCAAGCCAATTTTCCTTTTAATATTCATTTTGCTTTCAAGAACACCATTTGTGCTCATTTGTAATTATCTTTGAGTGTTCTTTTCTTGTTCTAGAATTGTGAAAACATCTTACCTTGTGAGGTTTTCTTGTAAGTTTGTAAATTTGTAATATTCTCTTTGGGAAAAAGAGTGTTCTCAAGAGTTGGGGTATACTCTTGAGGGATTTTGTAAGGTTATCTCTTTGGCCTTAAAAGAAAGAACAAATTAGTGAATTTGTTGGAAAATCCTTAGTGTCGATAGCTAAGGTAGTGGACGTAGACTTTGTTGAGAAAGTCGAACCACTGTAAATCGCTGTGCAATTACTTTCAATTTTTCTGCAAAAGCTTCCACGGAATTTTTAATTGCCAATTCACCCCCTCTTGGCCGATTCCGTCGATCGATTAACTCAATAATTGGTATCAGAGCCTAACTTATTTGAAGGTTTAATCGCCTCTTGAGTCGATTCGGGAAGAGTTATATCGATTATTAAAGTCATCAATGGCCTCCGCTTCAAACTTCGACTCCGGTCTCGATTCGATGCCCGTCAACAAGCCTCCTTTCTTCAATGGAGCTAACTATGCCTATTGGAAGAATAGAATGATGTACTTCATTCAAGCAAGTGACATGGG